ACTTGATTTGGCCGTGCTGCTTGAAATTGAAAACAGTGATTTAATACATTTTATTGCATAGTTCAACAAAATAATTATATCTTATTTTTGTTTTCCTATATAGATAAGTTATTAACATATATTGAATAACCATAGAAATTTCTTATGTTTTTAACCACTTTGCACTTTCCTGATGAGCAATATGAATATAATACAGGTACTTTACCCTACTTACCCTTAGAATTGCAACTTTAGGGCCTTAGCCCTTCTTAAAAAACCATTTTCTTTCAAGTATATTTTTACTTCTGTCACTTCGTCCTTGCAGTCGCAGAACAAGAGATGCAGCACTGCAGCACTGCTCCTGGTCACTTTGGTACCTCATTTTCTCTGATGTATACCTGAAGCCTGCAGAAATTTAGCACTTTTAAGCAGATTGCCTGAGTGGCTTCCAATTTGTTTCAGAACTGTCATTGGAGAACTCTGACCAAAAGTAAAAGGAAGAAAGAAAAAAAGATAAAGAGTGCTTAGAATTTAAATCTTCTGTACACCAAAAGTCTTGTTTAATATTTTATATATTTTTAAGCAAAACAATTTACAAACACTTGCCCTTTATTTTCTACCGTCTTTGACATGCATATTACTAGAACAATGAGCTTCAGCAAACAATTGTGTACACAGCTGTAAAATGAGCTATACACTGCAATATACAATATTGTATACATACTGTATAATGTATTTATATGTATTTAAAATACAGCAGAAATATTTTAAGACAAGCAACTCTTCCTCTTCTGCTTTTTCAAACTCCTGTCAACTTGAGGCTTGGCACAACAGCAACAAAAATCATGCTATCAAAATTAAATCACATGGTGCAACAGAATTCCTATAACATTCACCATTGAATTTCACCACTAACTTGGAATTTTTCCTAGTATTTAGAGAGCATCTACTGCAGGCTGTAACCTGGACATTTGATAATGATTCATTGGGTAAATAGCAGTAAATCAGAAGATTTAGTGAGTCTGTTTCATGGACATTATCACTTTAAGGAATAGTTCACTTTAGTGCAGCTGGAAAGAGTTGTTCAGAAAATGAGCACTTGGTGGCATTTGTTACTTAAGCTTCAGCTAGTATTTTTCCTACTCTGACTTAATGAAGGTTTTACCATTCACAAAATGCTACAATATCAGTCTTTCTAACACCTTCTACCAAAACTGATCTTCATGTGAAAATAGCATATAGCCAGATATATGCACACTGAGAGAGATCTTGGTTTACCTTAATATGAGGCAAGAAATGCAAAGGCTTCAGTTGTATGTGGATTCTCCTTCCCTCACCTCCCCCTGAAATTTCTGCAGAAAATAAGGCAGTTGTGTTGGATTAGAAGGTCCAGAATAGAGTTTATATATTATATATCACATATTACATATGTTTATGTTATTTATTATATACTTTATAAATATAAATTTATATATTTATAATATTTATAAATATAAATTATGTAATATGTATATATGCATATAGTATATATGTATAATAATTATGTATTATTATATAATATAAACTCTTTTTCCTATTTTTCAAGTTTATTAAATGAACATCAAACACATTAGGAATTACCCGTATCTCAGATTATAGCCTGTGCTGTTAACCCTTGTGCATTTCATAAAACTTTGGCGAGTTTTAAAATGTCCAGATGCCTGCAAATGTGTAATTATAGGGGTTTCAATTATGTGGCTTTTATCTGACTGAGAATTATTTTTACATGGAAAGAGAAAAGATTTGAAATGCAATCCAAATGTACCTAAACGGCTCAAAATCAGGATGTGAGTAAAAATAGTTCAGCAGAAACGGTTTGTTTATTCCCTCAGCTATCATTTTTACCTATTCTCGTGGCTTCTGGAAGCCTGACATGATTTTTTTCAATGCCTCACACTGGCAGAAGTGCACTCCTTGGGAAACACATCCCTGCAGTGTGCTTATTTCAAATGCAAAGGCCATTGTGCACAGCAGCCTTCCTCCTCCTCTTCCTCCTCTTCCCAAACTAAACATGGTCTGTCCTTGCTCTTACTCCTTCCATGTGACTTGGCCTCCACACCTTCCTCCTCATCCTGCTGTGCTGTTCAGAACCTTCCACCTAAGGCAGGGAAAGACAGGAAATCAATTAATGCAGAATCTTCAAGGAGTTTTAGTCCATTTCCTGCTATTTTCTCTCTCTTTGGATTTTAATTACTCACATTTATTTTCCTGGTAGACTTTCTGCATGAATAATTTGATAGCAGAAATCTCTGAGTCCCAGAGAATTTTTTGAACTTTATGAAAAGTTCAAAAGGAAAGAGTTTGGAAAAACAGATTTTTTTATCATTATTTTTATTTTTTACCTCAAAGATGTTGCTAATAAACTTTCATATTTTACAAACAGAAAGAACTGGATGAAGTGCCTGATTAGTGGGCAGAGAGGTATGCCCAGCAGCATGGGCTGTTGCCCAGCAGTACTAGAAATGGAGAGGGTGCAATTTATAGTTCACAGACTTGGTTTACAAGCCCCTAGAAGATTACAAAGGCAGATTGGGCAATTGAGAGAGACTGTGTATTCCAGTCCTGAGTGCAACCAGCAACTTGCCATGCTTAGTTTCCCTTTTCACAGTCATGGCAGAGTATTCAGAGCTTTGCTGGATCAAAAATCCATTGTTTGATTTTGTAATTGATCTCCTGGGTGAAGTAACATACATGATGATTATTAAGAAGGATTGCTATTTGTTATAGAAAATCTGAGTGCACAGTTTTTTTAAAAAAATGTACTCAGAACTTACCTGCAAACAATAATTATTCTGATTAACTGATAAGAAATTGTGTAGTCATTGCTCATTTTAATCTGGAGCTTTAATTCAAGAAAACAGGACCCCTGTTTCTGTAGCATTCATTACTTACAGTATTAAATTAAGATCATCAGAAATTGATTTGATAGCTGACTGCTGAAAAGTCAAAACTCTTTCTGCAGGGTATACATTTAAATTCTGATTGTATAAATGTAAAATTTAATATTGCATATATA